ACTCTGAAGGTAGAATGGGTGGGGCCGCACTCAGACTGGACGTGGGTGGGATGTGGCGTGAGCTCCTGGAACCATGGAGAGCAGGTGCCTGAACCATGAGTCGGGAGGACTGCTGGGGCCCTCAGGTCCAGAGGTTCTGGGAGAAGGCAACCTCTGCCACCCGCAGCCTCCTGGCCCCTTATGGGGACGGGTCTCCAGGCCTGGCCCTGTCCCAGGGTGACATGGACATCCCGCAGAGCCTTCCTCCGGGAAGTGGAGGGACAGGTGGGGTGGGGGGCAGTGGTGAGGGCTCAGGTGGGCCATCTGCCTTCTTGCCCCCGGCGGCGAGAGTTGCCCAAGTTTGGTGACGAGGAGTGAGCTCTATGGGCTGGGGCCCAGGTACTGGGGAGCAGACCCCAGCGTGGTTTGCAGAGTAGAGGGGCCCCCGCCTGGTCAGAGGGTTGTGGCCGCGCCTTTGCCTGCAGGGTCTGGGGGCCTGAAAGGGCCTGATCCAGGTGGGAGCAGGCAGCCTCAGCCCCCGGTGAGGGGAATCGTTCCAAGTCTGTGTTTACTGGTTGTAATTGCTTTTATCTCTCCGCGGTCGGTTTACAGAAGATGTGATGAGTTAGAACAGTCTGTGGTTGACAGACGCGTCCCTTTTACCACATGAACGATGCGGTGGCCGGATGTGTCTGGAGAGATGACCTAGAATTTTCCTGAGGCCCTTCCAGAACCTGTGGAGGGGCCGAGGTGGGTCCCGGAGCGCGGCAGGGGCGCGTCTGTCTGAGGTGCTCACCGTGTGAGTCAGCACCGCGCTTGCTTCGCTGCACGTCTGCCCTTCCCTGTCCTTCTTTGTTCACAAATGCTTGTTAGAAAGACAGGTCCCAGGTGTCCCCCTGGGGCAGGCTGCCCCTGTAGATTCATGGTTAGTAGTGGACACGTTCTCTGTGTTTGCTCAGATGCGCCACGGGCAGCCCTGTTCTGTTCCAGGGCTCAGACATGAGAGCTCAGAGCTTATCCCCCGGGCTAGAAGCAGTCTTTGTGACTTTAGCCAAGTAGGTCAAAAGTGGCCCCGGGTGGCCCTAGAAAGACCGTGAGGCGGGATCTTGCTCCCTTCCTGCCCTGTAAAGGTGAGGCTCACCCCGCAGTGACGCGGGACGTGCGCATCTTGGGACCAGGTCGCACGGGGACAGGATGGTTAGTTACTCTTTCCAGAAGGAGGTGGCCCACGGGGAGGTGGGGGGAAGATAACTTGCCACTTTCTGTGGCGATGAGAAGGTCAAGGTGGCCCACGGTGGGGGGGCTCCGAGGTGTGGGAGTCGAGAGGCCCGTTGTCAGGGCAGGCTTGGGCTCGGGGCCTGAGTAGCACGGCCGCAGCCCAGAGACCCGCGTCCTGCCCGGGGCCCCAGGGTCTCCAGGGTCCCGGGTGTGCGGGGCGGGGTTGCCTCAAAGCCCCACCTCCCCACGCCCACGGGGCCCCTCAGGTGGCGCCTGCCCATGCCAGCCTGGCCCCAGATGGGAGGCCGTGTGGACGGGGCTGCATTTCCACCGCAGACTGAGTGCGGCAGGCGTCCCCTGCATGCGGGCGGGCCTCGTCCTGTCTGCTGAAGGCCTGTGTGGAACCAAAAGACCCGCCCTGCCCCGAGGAAGAGGGGGCTCCTCCTGTCAGACGGGGGCCTTTCCTCCACCTTTGGACTGGAACTACTCCCGCGGCCCTCTGGGGTCACGAGGCCGCCCGCAGCGGGTCTCGGGACGTCGACCTGCACGGTCGTGCCGCCGCCTCCTTCTAATCGAGCTTCACCTGCGCACGCACGCTGTGGGTCTGTTTCTCTGGAGGGCCCTGACTCATGCACCCCTTACAGCGTGGTGCCTGGGGATTTTCCCTGTGTCTTCCCTGGGGCCTCTGACCGCAGCCTGCTTGGCCCACCCTCTGCACCACGATGGGGCTGGGTGGAGGTGGGCACCCACGGGTGGGCAGTGAGGCTCTAAGGTAACGGACCTGCAGGCTGGCGCCCCATGGTCAGGAGGTGACATCCAGGGTGGACAGGTAGGGACTCTGGGGGCCTCGCTGCTCTCCGGGGCCTGTGTGGGAGCAGCCTGTTAGCCGTGAGACCCTCATGGGCTGGGTGACCAGGAATATCGCTGGACCTCTCTGGGCCTTGGCCTCTGTCTATAAGGGGGCTGACATTCATGCGTCACGGGCACACCAGGAGTCAATACGTATTAAGTACTTTGCGTGTGGAAAGCGAGCCGCCTTCACCAGTGCTTCCTCGTCACCAGAGGGACAGCCTCAGCGTTCTTCGCCAGGGAAGCCCGGGGCCATATGCTGGGCCAGCTGCTGACCAGTAGAACCTCCCTCCTGGCATCACTGTCCTGAGGAGACGGGCACCAGAGAGGGAGCATGGAACTCCTCGTCACCTCAGGGACTTTGCACTGGCTGCTCCCTGAGGGAGGCTCCCTGGGCTCTGACCAAGGGTCGTCCCTGAGCATCTCTGAAGTGGCTCCTTCCTTTCCGCTTCCCTGCCTGTGTTACCCTCCTGCCTTTTTGGGTGTCATGACAACTCGCCTCTTGGGCCAGCTCCCTCCTGATCTGGTCCCAGGTGCCTGGAGCCAAGCTAGCCTAGAGTCGGCGCTCACTGCCAATTTAATGAGTTGGCCTGTGAGCAGGGCCGGCGCTGGGAAGTCCTGGGGTCAGCAGGGGCTCTGTCGGCAGGGCGTGAGGGAGAGTGACCCCCTCGGGCTAAGATGAGCTGGTGCCCTTGGGGGTTCTGGCAGTGGCCACGGAAGTGCAGGTGACCTGTGGGTGTCCCTGGGGTCTGATAGCCCAGAGTGTGAGCACGGGGAAGGGTCAATCCTGCATCCAGGACGTGGGGGTCCCACCTGCTGCTCAGGCGGAAGCCTGTGGAACTTGTGGTGGGAGTGCTTCTGCGTTGAAGGGTGTCTGACCTCACAGATGCACCAGGACAAGCGTCCTGCCTGCGGCCTCACGGTTCAGCTAACCTTTAGGAGCCCCCAACCCCACTGGCACACCATCCCTCTCTCTCTTCCTGGTTGACGCTGAGTCAGCCCCTGAGTTGACACTGGGGACAGGGCAGGGATGCAGGGCGTGCAGGAAGGTGAGTATGCCAGCCCTTGGTGTGGGGTCAGAGGTCAAGGGGTGCCACATGCCCCCTCTTGAGAGGCTGTGGATGGCCCTTCCCTCCCCAGATCCTGCTTGAGCCGTAGGTCTGTGTGCGCATGGGTTTGGGCCTGGGAGAGGAGAGGGATCTGCTGCCGCCGCCTTGTGCAGCCACGACTGTGTGCAGCCGCCGAGGCGGGTGGTCAGTCAGCCTGCGATTGGACATGGCTGCTCCCAGGCCGGGCCACGGGCCACACCAGGCGGGGCAGCTGGGGGCCTTCCGTGCCTGGAGGGACAGCTCCAGTCTGGCTGACCTCATTGGCACTCCTCTCGAATTCTGGGAATTGTGGGCCCCCTTCACTGGATGGGAGGAGGGATGTGGGGAGTCGTCTTGAGGTAGCTGCTGGCTCCAGGTCAGAGGAGCCCACGCGGCAAGCACAGCACATCCCTTTCCCTGCCGCCAGTCCAGGGGACGACAGCAGGCTGGGACGTTGGTCCTTCCTGCCACCTGCTTAAGTGGCTTAGGGACGTTTCCTGGGGGGCCGTGAGGGTGTCACCTGGGATGAGTCACCATTGCCCTCTTTCAGGCTTTCCTCTTCCCCTCCTTCGTGGGCAGATGCTTTCGGAACCTTCTGGGTCCCTGGTTGGCATTTCCTTAGCTCTCTCTTCAGCAGCCCAGTGGCACTGGTGCTGCCCCTGGTTCCCCCATGGACCCAAGCAAGAGGCCGGTGGGTGCACCTTCCCTCTTCACCACCAGTGAATGCCAGGCATCTCTGGGCACGTTGGCATAGCTGCAGGTGGTGGTGGGTCCAGGCCCCCTTTGCACAGTAGGAGCTGTGCAGGCAGTGCAGAGGCCCAGCCGCCCATGGGGATGGGAGACCATGCTGCCGTTGTCGGCATCGTTTTAGCACGTGCTTATTAAACACCCACTGTGTGTCAGGCCCGGCTCCAGGCACTGGGCACAGCTGTGAACAAGCCAAGCCCAGGTCCCTGCTCCAGGGATGACGTCTGGGGTCGCTGCAGCTCTGCACACCTGGCTGACATGGAGACTGCTTTCCCAAGACAGGCTCCCATTGGGTCAGGATGCCAGTTGGGCATCCTCGAGTTGGGCTGATAAACCCACGGGTCGCTCAGGACCAGGGGATGGGGCAGCTGGAGTTGCAGCATCTCTGCCTACAGCCAGCTGCTGCGGTGATGGCCCTCAGCCCAGGGCTCACCCCGGTCTCAGACCAGGAATCCAGAGGGCACCCCCAGGATGGGCCATGCCTCCTGAAGGCCAGCCCAGCTGCCAGTCTCAGCAGCTGCTTCCTGCTGAGCTTG